ATATATATATATATATATATATATATATATATATAGGCATACACTCCCTCATTTTCGATGCCTCCCACTTTTTTTAAAAAAATCTTTCTGTTTCGTCTGTCTTTGTGTGTATTTGGCTTCTTTCCTTGCCGCGATGACACTTCCTTGAGTGTGCGAAGTGGACCACACGAGCGGCGGCAACGACGGCAGCACAAATAATAATAATAATAATAATTAAAAACAGAGGGGGAAACGTAAGAAGGTCAGCAGAAAAAAAGTACGTTACAGGGATGATGGTGCGCCCCGCGTTTGCAGAAGTGTTAGTGGCCTCTGTGCGTGATGCACTTGCCAAGTTGCAAGACGTTAAGAGTGAGGAAGGCGATGCAGTGCAGAATACTAAGAAACGCCCGCGTGCGACCAGAGACGTCGCCATCTCGGCGTCGTCATCCACCGCCATAGTGCCACTGCGGTACCCTGTTGGTAGGAGCACGCTGCAGGTGACAGGTGTGCACGTTTCCATGCAGGAGACGGAGCAGGCGGAGGCTCACACAGGCAACGTTGGAGACTTTGTTGTCTTGCTTCGTGCGCACGTCAAAGGGAGGCTTGACCACGCTGCACGCGTCTTTACGGTAGCGGCGATGAAGTTTGCCGCTGACCCAAGCATGGGGCGGACCACCATGGCTGAAGGCGGGGCACGTGAGGATGCACGCCATGCGGGGAGGCCGGCAGCTGTGACAACCCCATCACCCTCACCGGGGAAGCCACATCGGTTGGCACGCACCGCCTTCGCCCAACTTGATCTCCGGCTGCAGTCGGAGAAGGTGGGCTTCTCCGTGCAGGTGCTCCCAGCGGGGCCCAGGCGCGCGCCGCCGCCATTGTCGACGAGGTCTTTGCTGCCCCGAGGCGGCAGTAGCGCTAGTGGTGGCTCGCTGAGGGTGATGGTCGTCGGTGTGGTCTCCCCGTTGCTGCCGTGAACCGTCGCAGCTGCGGCTGGTGGGGGTGGTTGAATGGGGAGGAAATCAATCGAATAACATCGAGAGGAACATGATGCGAAAAGAGGGGGAGGGGAGAGTAAAGAAAAGAAGGGAGGGAACGGTGGTGCGCATAGTCCTACTTTCCCAAGAAGAAGGGGCAAAAAAGAAAGACGACGGCGTTTCGTGAAGCAGGTAGCTGCTTGCGCTTGTGAATTTAACACCAGCAGCCGTGGCACACGCACACACACACACACACAGTCATGCAGACACAAAGTCCCGTACAGAGCCGTACACACAGAGCCGCGCACATCTCTTCTCTTCACGTCTCTCAACTCTGCACATTGAAGGGATACACCAAAAGAAGCAACAACAACAACAAACAAATAAACTCTCAAAAGGAGTGGTCGCAGAAAAACAACGCAACACGTATATATAGTTTGCGGCGACTTCTTAGTTCTTCCATTCTTCGATGGACGCTTTGCACCTACCGCGGCGTACCCGCGTTGTCGACTTGGGGCTCATGTCGCGTGAAGACGTTATCGAAGTGGCAAAGAAGCAGGCACAAGGTATTCGTGAAAAGACTATGCGGATAAAAGCTCTTGAAGATCTGGTTGCACAGCTCACTGGCCGACCAGCTCCTGACGTTGCTTCCACAGGTCTAAGCCCAAATCAGAGCTACACGGGCTCACTCCCAGCAACGCCTGCTGAGCACCGCAGTGAGTTGGCACTGCAACAGGCCATGGAAGAGGAGCGCATAGCATACGCTACGGAAATAAGCCGCAACGAGCAACTTACCAGGGAGCTTCAAACGCAGCTCGATACGAAGACAGCTGAGCTTACAGCGTTACAAGACAAGGTGAATGTCTGGCGAGAGAAGGTTATGCTGACCTCACGCCGCGACCAGGAGATAATTGCCCAGCTGCAGGCACGTCTAGGGCAACTGCAGAGCACTACCATCACAGCCGCTACACCAGCAGCAATTTCACCTGATGTTTTGGAAGCTGCCGTGCAGGAAAAACTCTCCCATTGGAAGGAGCGCGTCAAGACAAAAATGCAGCAGGATATGGACCGCATTCACGAACTTGAAGAGAGGCTGAAGTTAATTCAAAACAAAAACCAGTCACCATCTAAAACAGTCGCGGATACAGTGCAGCGCAAACACATAACACCATCGTCTCAGCTTTCGCAGCAAGAACCACATGACGTTTTCAAAACTCAAGAAGCCACACACACTGACATGGAAGAAGCACCTCATCAAATAGATGAACAAAAGAAGGAACATGTGCTGGAGACCATTCAGGCTGACAAGATACCAATTAAAGAATTACACCAAGAACTTCAGGCACCTCGTTCTGGTTCAACGGAATGTAACATATCTTTTGAGACACCAACCGACGTCGTACATAGCATTGGCGTTGCTGCTGTATCAGAGTTGAAACACCTCCAAAAAAACATGGCATTCCGGGAACTCAGCAACGAACAAACGATTCATTCCCTGACGCAGGAGGTGCAGCGGCTGAAAGTGGAGCTGGAGAGGGCTCGGCGCGAGCAGGAGGAGGCAGCCGGTGCCATGGAAACCATGCAGTGTGACGCTGCACGGGAGCGGGAGGAGGCTGTGGCCACTCTTGCGCAGGAGGTGCAGCGGCTAAAGTGGAGCTGGAGATGGGCTCGGCGCGAGCAGGAGGAGGCAGCTGATGCCATGGAAACCATGCAGTGTGACGCTGCACGGGAGCGGGAG